ATACAATAAGACTAAGAGAGGTTATTCCAGAAATGCAAAGTTAGATCAGCATAGTAACAGATCAAAGAAGAAAGAAAAGATTTATATAAATTATTACAGAAAAACTTTTGGACAAAACTCAACAACCATTCATGATAAAAACTCTTAGAAATTAGGAACAGAAAGAAACAATAAAAGACATCAGTAGAAAAACTGTGGCTAACATCATACTTATGGGTGAAAGACTAAATGTTTTTCCCCGCATGCCTGGAAGTAAAGAAAAGAAGTCTGCTCTTACCATTTTATTCAGTACAGTTCTAGAAGTTCTAGTCAGTGCAATGAGCAAAGGAAAGAAAATAAAAGACACACATCTGTAAAGGAAGAAACAAAGTGTTCCAGTTTGCAGAGGACATAGCATTTCTACTGAAAATCTTCTTAAAATTAATAACTGAACTCAGTGAGATCAAGATCAACATACAAAAACTGTACAGTGGTACTTCGGTTCACAAACTTAATTCTCTCCATGATTCAGGTCGCAAACCAAATGGATGAGAACTGAATCAAATTTTCTCATAAAGTAAACAATGAACCTGACCATTGAATTTGATTTGGTTCTTGTCCAATTTGATTTGTGACCACAATCATGGAAAGAATTAAATTTGTGAACCAAGGTACCACTCACTGTATTTCATTAGGCTAGCAATGAACACTAAATATAATATTACAATATCATTTACAAGCACTCACAAAATAAAATGCTAATTATAAATCTAATATCTACAGAATTTGTATGTAGAAAGCTAGCAAACACTGAAATCAAAGATTTAAATAAATAAAGAAATATATCATGTTAGTGAATTGGAATACTTAGAATGATAAAACTGTCAATTCTCCTCAAATTTATACACAAATTTAACATAATTTCTATCAAAATTTAGAGATTTTTTGGCAGGGGATAGATGAAGACAAACTTGTCCTAAAATGGGAATAGAAATAGTAGAAACAGAAACAGCTAAAATAATTTTGAAAAATGAGAATTTTCAGCATTCATGACTCATGTTATATTTTAGATCTAAAATGTCCCATTAAAGTCTTCAGAGTGAGTCCGGGGTGGAAGAGGTGGGTAACTTGGGCATGAAGAGTGTGTTCTTGTCCCTGCCTCCTTCCTTCTTCCCTTTGCTTTCTGGCCACCATACAGTGAACAACCTTGCACTGTCATGCCATTTCTGCCTTGGAGCCAGCCTACCATGGACTGAAATCTCTGAAACTGTGAGCCAAAATAAACCACTCTTCCTAAGTTGTGGGTGTTGGGTATTTTGTCCTAGTCACAGGAAAGTATCTAATACAGAATATTAGTACCAGGAGTGGAGTTGTTTCAGTGACTATACCTATGTGATTCAGAAACTTTTAGAACTGGTTTGCAGGAGAAGTTTGGAGATACAGGCTAGAGAAGCCTTAAAATACTACAAGCAGAGATTGATGAGTGATTCTGGTCAGAGCTCAGAAACCTACAAGGCTGACAGAAATGCAGACAGTAAAGGCCAGGCTCAGGAACTTTTAGTTGGGAACAAGACTCAACTGACAGTTGGACTAAAGGGGCCATCTATGTATGTTCTGCAAAAATAGTCTATATTTTGTCCATGTCCTGAAACTTTGTAGAAGTCTGAGATTAAGGGCAGAAAACTAATTAATCCAATAGAGGAAACTTCAAGGCAGCCCAGTGTTCAACTGTGGCATGGGAACTGCTGGCTACTTTCAGCCTGTTATAGTGAGAAGCAAGAGCAAAAAGCAGAGGTGAATGATGTGAATCTTGGACAGAAAGGAAGCACTTGTAATGCTGGGGCAAAAAAGTGTGGTTGCTGAAAATATTAGCATAAAAAAGAAGCCAAATACTTTACATCAGGACATAGGAAAAATGGCTTGAAAGCACCTCAGGAATTGTCCAGATCCAACCCTTTTCAGGCTGAAAAACTATAAAGCTTTCTATTTGAGAAGCAAACTCCAGGGCACCCTGCACAAAGTGTCCTATCAAGGGAATTGGTTCCCTCAGCCACCTAGGAACTCAGTAGCCATTGCAGACATGGTTCAATAGGGTCTATCTACTGTTCAAGCTGAGGGCAGACTTTGGCATCATTCACATGGTGCTGGTTTTTCTGAAAACAGAAAGTAAGAGTTGTATGGTCACAGAGGCTTCCACCCAGATTTGAGAAGGCCTGGGCCAGGAAGTATGCCCGTGAGAAGGCAGTGTGTGGAGCTGTGAGAATGAAGTCAAAGGTGTAGTGAAAACCCCATGACTCTGAGGATTCTGGGAACATGGAATGTCTGCTGAGAAAAGCCATAGGCAGTGAGCACACAGACCATAAAAGAGGTCATGTAGGCTGCAACTGACAAGGGCTTAGGGGTGGGTCTTCCCAATCCCTTTGGAGCTGCCACTGATTCTGGACATAGGGTCACAGGATTTAATGTTAGTCCTGTTTCATTTTGGTCTGATTTCTTTCTGTTCTCTTATTCCTCCCATTTGGAATAGAAATGTTAACTCTGTGCCATTGCATGTTGGAAGCTTTTAACTTTCTTTTTGATTTTTACAGGAGTTCATAGCTAAGGTTTACCTTGAGTCTCAGAGGAGACTCTGGACTTGGACTTTAGCACTGCTGAAAATTTTAAGACTTTGGTGACTCTTAATGATTGACTAACTGAACTTTACATAATGACAGAGGCATAAGCCTTTTTGGTGCCAAGGGCAGAATGTTATGGTTTAGATCTAAAATGTCCCCCAAAAGTCTTGAGTTCAGTAGTGGAACTCATTCAGAGGAGGTAGGTCACTGGGATGTGAACTAAAATGATGTATTCTTGAGACCATACTTTTTTTTTCTTTCCAGTACTGGGGATTGAACTCAGGACCTTGTGCTTGTGAGGCAGGTGTGGTGTCACTGAGCTAAATCCCAGGCCCAGAAATGATGTATTCTTATTTGTGGCTCCTCTTTCCTTTTCTCCCTGCTCCAGGCCACCATGTGGTGAACAGTTTTCCACCACAGTGCTGTTTCTGCCTTTAAGTCACATGACCATAGACTGAACCCACTGAAACTGTATGCAAAACAAATCATTCTTTGTTTAGGTTGCAGGTGTTGGGTATTTGTCCCAGTTACAAGAAAGTGACTACATAGTATTTAACTTCAGTAACTGACATTGCAGTTTTGTTGGAAGACTAGACACATAGACGAATGTAATAGGAGAATCTAGAAAAGACCCATGCAAGTAAGACAAAGCTGATTTTTTACACAGATACAAAAATAATTCAATGTATGAAGCATAGTTTTTTCAATACTGATGGGGCACTATTAATAAGCATATAAAATTAACATAACTGCCATCGACAAAATGTAAATTAAACCACAATGTAATACCACTATATATCTAGTAGAATAAAGTTAAAAAAACTGGCTGTAACAAGTATTGGCAAGAATCTGGAGCAGTTGGAACCCTCATATACTCCTGATTAGAATGCAAAATAGAAAAATTACTGAGAAACAGCTGAGCAATTTCTGATACGTAAATATGTATATATTTTAACAGTATAATCCAATCATATCCAGTCATTCCACTTATACTTATTTGCCAAAGGAAAGTGACTACATATGTATACAGAGACTTTTTCATGAGTATTTATAGTAATCTTATTTACAGCCAGAAATAGGTTAGTAGCTACTGGAAAACTACCTAAATGTCAATGGTAAATGGATAAACAAAGTGTAGTATACCGATACAATGGAATACTACTCAGAAATAAAATAAACTACTGATACATACAGCATTGATGACTCAAAATAATATGGTATGAACAGTGGCAGACACCACATTTAAACAAAATGGGGAGGATGCCTATTTACCAAACTTAAAGTGTTTTTATGAGGATCACATAAGATAAAATTAGATTATTTATGCTTGAGATTACTAATGAATACAGGACAAAATTGAAAGCATTTTCAATGAAGTAACACAATTTCATTTACCAGTCATGATCTGATAAAATATTTGTGAAACTAGACCATGATCATCCTTATAGTTAGTGTTTATTGAGTGGTTATTATGTACTGGTTTTTGGCTACTTATTTAAACCTCAACAACCAGGGGTTGGGACAAGGACTATAACTTTATAGATGAGAGAGAGACCTACAGCAAAGCGGCAAATTGGTCTAACAAAGACAACACCACTGAGAATCAGAACCTTGGATTTAAGTCTTGGCTTGAGGCTATGGAGAAGGCTTTTAATGTGTGCTATGGTTTGGGTGACTGTATCCCACGGGTGCATATGTGAAAGCTTGGTCCCAGGATGGTGGTATTGAGAGGTGCTTTAAAATGTGGGGCCTAAAGGGAGGTCCTTAGGATACTGGAGTATGCTTTTGAAGGGGACTGTGGGACTCAAGTCTCCCTCACTCTGCTTCCATGTTCATGCTGTGAACACTGGGAGCTCTTAACTGGTGCTGCTGCCATCATGTGCCAACTCACCAGAGGCACAAACCAGGAGCCTCCAGAACCATGAGCCAAATAAGCTTCCCTAAGTAGCCTGTGTCAAGTATTTTGTTACAGTGATGCAAAGCTGATTAATGCACATTTCTATCTCTATTATCAAATACCAATAATTACTACTTGGGTTATTTCTTACAGCTTTTATGCTAATTGAAAGAGATAATGTGAAACTTTATAAACTGGGATTAATGTAATTCTGTTGAAAGCTACACAAATGTAAATTCTTTGGGATGGAAATTTAAAGGAAATGGTAGGAAAGATAAAATAACACCAAGCTAATTCCTTTCATGTTTTCTCATTACCCTTACTAATACTAGTTTAGAATACTGAATTTTTTAAGTTGGAATGTTCAAATACTTTAAAAGTCTCCAAATATTTATAAAAATTTATCTGAAAAATAAGGCACAGATGGTGGCCTAAACTAATGTTTACTATTAACAAGATTATCTTACTCTGTTACTAAGCATTTCAAAAATTAGTAAGTGTATAAGCCAGTAAATTATCTCAGTATTTTATTTATCATTTTGTCTTGGCAGTAGCTTTATAACATTATAACTTTCCACAAAGACAGTACATGCATATTAACAAATCTCATTTCATTCATTTTGTTTTTCCATTTCTTCTGGTAGCTTTTTAAGAATCCAATACTTCAGTGTTTCCAGCTCAGTTTTGCTGAGCTCATGGTACACATTTGGAAAACTGTAAAACTTTGTGTTCACTCCTAGACATTTTAACATTGAGTTTGTCTCTTCGCCCCAGGAATGAAGAACTAACTCATCTGCCATGCCGTGACACTGAAATAATTCTGGGAGCACACCATCCATCTTCTGAAGTGCCTAGAAGAAAAGGTAAAACCAGAAAAGTGTAAGAAACTGCACTGATCATTCTTAGAGATGAGAGAAGAAAAATTCCAACTTCACCAAAGCTTCAGTAACTAAAGGAAAAAGGGGTACATGGGGCAATGCGTGAGACATCCACAGGCAGTAGACCTGGGGCTAAGCTGGTGGCTGGCACAAACGAGAAGACTTTCCAAGACAGCCAGAGAGGTTCCCACAAACAGTGAGTGACTTGGAAAACAGACCTTTCACACAGAGCAGAAGGGTTCTGGAGTTCAGAGCTTTGGCACATGCAAGCAATAAATTATACCCTAGTTCTCAAATTGGTACCTGCTTTGTAGTTTCTACCTCTGGTATAGAAGCTGCAGTGCTACACTGTATCATCTTCATAAATTAGGATTTTGCTGTAAAATTAAGTACCAACTTCATAAGTGATTTTTTTCTTATTTTGAGTATGCTCAAGGCCAAACGGGTGAGCCTGGCTATAGTCATCCATATTTTTAATATGTACAAAACATACACATACACTATACACGCGTGCATACATACTGCTTCTTTCCTCCTTAACACTCAGCCTGAGAATACTCTTTGTACAGGGAAGGTTCTGAACATTATCAGCTAGAACTAATATATATTGGGCCAAAAATTCCTAGGAATGCTCAGTTTATATCAGCTGTGTGTCAACTTTAATTGCTTAATTATTAATTTTATTTTGGTTTCCATGTGTGTGCTTCATGTTTGTTTGTTTTACCCACACATGATCTTAGTCAAAAAGCTGAGAAGCGATACTTTTTTTTGCTTTTGTTTTGTTTTTAAAATCTAGAACTTACCTGGTAAACAGCAGATGCTTTATTCAGAAAACTAGAAAGAGCAAATACCCCTGCCACATCTTGATGGTTTCTATATGCTAAATGCATGGCCATACATCCTCCCATAGAAAATCCTCCTAAAGAAGCAAAAATACACTTAGCAGAAAAAGCAAAATACATGCATTAATTCAATCTTTCTTAAATATTTAAAATATTCAGAAACCTTTAAAGATAGACAGTGCTAAAAAGAAATTTAATCTATTTTAGGTCTCATAGAAAGATTTGGTATGATCAGTAAATAATACTTCCCCATCCGTAACATCACTGGTAAGAGATCTGTCCTGTAAAAGCAGCTAGGACTGAACACAGAAGTCATGCTCACCAAGTGGAAACATTTATCATAATTCAAACTGTGAGCCATAGGACAGGCATTATTTATTCAAACTTCTAATGTCAACTCCTATTCTGTTTATACTAACAGGAAGTTGTCGTCACACTGCAACTACAATTAATACTGAACAACTTTTTGTCTTACCTGCCTAGCTGTGAAGTCCAGGAGGATTTATGCTTTTGGTATCTGCCAAATCATAGATGCTTAGCAATTTCTGAGTTAGGAAGGATGACCAAAAATTTGGTGAGCACGTTAAAACATTTTGGGATTACAGTTTTATTTTGGAAACGGCCTTGTGATGGCATGATGAAAATCAGTGGTAACTTGACAAACCTTTCCCGGCCTTGTGCATGCCGAACATGGTGGGAGTCACCAGAGACAGGCGCTTAAAGTACACGGACCCTCTTGTTCAGGGGGCTTTGATAAGGAAATGCACCCTTCCCGGAATACAGAGATCACCATGAAGCAACAGCAGCAGAGAACTGGGGACCCCTGTGATACTCCAAACTTGAGTGAGAATCAAAAGATACTAAGTTTAGACTTCACAAGAAAATGAATATGCAAAGTAAACCGTGCAGCCACATATTCATGGAAATACAAAAATGAAAATTTTATGGAATTTAGATTTCTTCATTTCTGGCCTACAACCTTATTTCACTTAGAAAGTGTAAAGCTGAGCCCATAGAGACCATACACATACATTCACTACAATATCCTTGGTTTTACACATGAAGGGAACAGAGGCCTATTGAGAGTAGGTGACTTGCTCACAGATGCCGCTCTAATTTTAGGTGTAAAGCTGGAACTTTCGGATTCCAGATTTCCTGTAATAGAGTTCAGTGTACTTTGTATCATCCTCTGATAATTATTAAAATAGGATTACTTTGTCTGGGCAAGCAGATATTATTTTGGATCCAGAATACAAAAATACGAAAGAGGACTATCAGCTTGCAAAGTTTAGATTTATTAAAAGAACATAATGAGTATGGCAACCAGACAGAAATAATAGGGTCTCACCAGCAGCAGTGGTCCACCTTAGATGAAAACCTCCTGAAAGGCTTTTTCAAAAGACTCTCCCCAACACCTCCAAAGGCAGACACATCTAATAAAGGTTCATGAACAAGGTCAGTGGGGACAGAGAAAATACACACCCTAAAGATGCTTGTAAAATTTGCATTTGTGCATCAGTTTTCTCCAGAGCTACATTATCCATGAATCTGTGCAGTGGTCAATCTTTGATGCCCCATTTGGAGAGGAAGAGCTTACCATGAACATGATTAGCATTGCCGGTAGTTAAGCCTTTGTCCTAAATGTGCAGAAAGAATTCTAAGTTTTATTTATATATATTTTTTGTCACAATTCTAGTTACAGACTTCTTGCTGCTGAGTTTTCTGTAAACTAACATTATATGGTTTATAAAACACATATTGAAATAATTGTTTTGGGGGGCTTTTTTTGGTGGGGGGGTTGTTGTCGTTCTGGTGACTGAGCCCAGGGCCTTGTCCAAATTAGGCCAAGTACTCTCCCACTAAGTCACATGCCTAGCCTGCAGAAATAAAATTCTTATCAAGCCTTGATTTACTGAATATAAATCAGTTGTCTGGATTCTGAAATTTTCAGTGGTCAGAAGCAGTCTTTTTCCTCATCAAGCTTGCCTGGGTGCCCTTGATGAGCTGAGCAAAGAGCCCTTGTCCTCCTGGTGCACAGGAGCTGGGGAGTGGGAGTGGTAATTAAAGCTGGGATAGCATTTAATGGTTTCTTTCTAGCAAGGCAATATTCTTTAAAAGAAGGAATTACAACAAATCATATCGAAATTTTTCCTAGGATTGAATTCCTGGGGGAGTTTATTAAGTAGATCTTTACAAATAAAACTCAAAGTCAGAAACTAGTCTATATTCAGCAAGTTCTTCTATGGATTTCTTGTCAAAATCAGGACACAAAACCCTTAACATTCATTAGAAAATAAAGACCGCTTGAGCCTAGAGCAATGCCTGGCATAGGGAAGGGGCTTTATAAATACTCACCGACTAAGAGAACTTAATACATTGAAGTGCAATAAAAATATTTCTGCAATGACACAAATTTGTCATCAGGAACTATAGCTTTTGGGTGATTTAAAAAGCAAAGATTAGAAAATTTTGGAGTGAATCATTAGTGTGCTCTAGGCCAAGCATTCCTAATTTGGGTTCTTAAAGATTTTAGACTCATACCCAGCCCCACTAACAAAATGCTGCCACCTATGTCTAATTTTAAAATGCTTTTATGCTACAAGTCAGATGTTTGAGAGTCACAGCTATGTGGCAAAGTTTATGATTAAATGTATTGAGTAAGAACAAAACATGCAAATACGGTCATGATTTAAATCCATATGCTATAGATAAAAGTTATTATTTTTCTGAGAAAGTCAAGTAGCATGAATCATGGTTTTGCCAAATGTAGCTCATGAATATCTGAAATATAATATCTAAATATAGTATGATTGAGAAATTAAATTTAAATTTCATTTATTTTTTAAGTAGTTTCAATTTGAACTTGTAGAGCCATGGAAACTAGGGGCTACCATATTGGAAAAGGAGTATCAAATTGTATCAGTGATTGAAAAAAAAATCAAAATCCAGCAATGGAGCATAAGTAGTATCAATATTTCATAAAAAGGTAATTGTGATGCTGTGATAAAAATCCTTGAGATAAAATATAAAAATCAATTAGTAGAACAAAATGTATTGCAATGATTCTCAAAGTATACCTGTCAAGAACATTTTATACATGCAGTGCATCCCAACACTTCCTTCCTCTAGACCGGGGACCTAGTCACTGCAGGTGGTTTTAGGGCCCTGGATGGGAATAGCTTAACTAAAAAGAGAAAAGGAAACGTCATTGTGAAATGCCGCTGTGAATACACAGTCACACGTAAATGTCCTGCAAACATCTACCCACATGTTCAGTTCTCATAAGTTACAGAGAAGAAAAATGAACGTAATGAAATCTTATTATTTCAAGATTTAATCCGAGGCCTTTCCCCACTTATAATCTGGTGAGGTAACCTGCAATTCTACACTAGATGTCTTTGACCATACAATCACCTTAAGCTTGGTACACTACTGTGAAAGGGGATTTTGTGTATTTTTTTCCTAAAAGAAGAAAATCAACACAAAGGACTAGTCATCTGAATTAAATTTCCATCTAAGAGTCTAAAATCTAATATAAAATATACTGTTCAATAAGTAAACAGCAAATAGTAAATTCATTGTAGGTAATGGTTATAATGGGTATTTATAGTTGCTGGTAAAGTATTTAAAATGTCAGAGTTAACATTTCAACATACACTTACGATTAACAAGCTGAATAAAACATGTTAAAAATAATAAACTTGGCTTTATGAACTCTTTATATAAAATAAAACAGAAACAATCTATAAAAAAACTATATTGGGAAAATTAAGGGAATCTGAAAGCAAAATCCTAAGAAAAAAAAAAACCACGATTAAAGTTTGCTATCAACTAAACAGGATCCAAAAGTGTAATAAAATCCACCACCACGTCAAATCTGAATAGTTCTTCTATTTCATTTATATACTGTTATAATTATTCTTCAGACTTAAGTGTGATAACGTCTCAAAAGATCTGGGAATATACAAATCATGCTTAACATATTTAATTGTATATTTCCTCACATATGAAATCTGTAGGAGAAACAAACTATTTATTTTCCTCTGTGGAAAACTGTTACAACAGTCACAAGCTTTTAAAGTCCTGATAATTGTTGAAGAAACATAAGCTGCTTAATAGAGTACGCACGTGCTTTAAAAAAGTAGAAGCTGTCATTCTCAACTTTTAGCTCCCAGGAGAGTTTCAGAAGAAACTGATAAGCCTCAAGAAAAGGCAGCCTACAGACCTTGGTGTTAGGACTCATAATGGGAATTCCAACTATCCTTTTGTCTTATTTTAGATCTGGTTATGAAATTAATACATTAATATGATTTACTCTGTAAAGTGTTTCTACCATACAGATGCAAATAAAGAAAAGTCATCCAAAATTTTACTAGCAGCACATAATTTTGGTATGTTCCTTTAAAATTCATTCTAGCAGTTAAATTCACTCTACATGTACAATTTTATATACTTTTCCTTCATGTAATACTGATTTGAAAGACCGTCTACAGAATCATAATTTTAAACTGAACGCAAACTCACTGAGTGCTCTGTTAAATGAATATATGCAGCAGTAGGGACCATAAGCCCTTCACCCACTCCCCTGTGGTGGGCCTCTAGACTCCATATAACTTATCCAAGCGTGCTTCCAGGGCCACTCGTTTCTTCCTGCTTCAAAATTCTGATCATGTGCTCCTATTGTCAAAATCTGGGCAATCTGTTGATGTCATTTGTTAGGTTCTATACATCTAGATCAAAATTAAACCTAAATTATATTGATAGTTTTTTCTGAACAACAAATTATCACCACCTAGTGGCCAGAAAAAGAATTTGATCATGGATTAAAGTTCTTAACTAAATCAAGGGACCTGGGTTCTAGTCCCAACTCTGTTATTAGCCATAAATCTTGCATTTTAGTTTTATCTCTAGAAAGAAAATAATTATAACTTATTTTACCTGCTGCAATATGAAAACAACTTCATAACTTACACAATATATAAATACAAAACACATGATGGTAATTTAAAAACTGTCAAATGTAGTATAAATGTCAGCTAATTTATGAGTATTATGTCGTACATGCTCTGTAAGCACG